GAGAAGAGAAGGGTGTGTTTAGCTACTGAAGGAACAAAGTTACTCAGAGCTCTTTTATTAAAAAGCAGGCTCAACTAAACAAATAGCACCTGGAAACTTCAAACCTCCCGACAGCTGTCTAGCTACACAGACAGACAAGCACAGGAAGAGAGACACAGAGACAAATGGCACATAGATTAACTGACAACCAGGTTGGCAGAGTCACAAAGACGGGTGACAGCATACCAGTACAAGAGTGCTTCAAATATTTAATCGATTCAGGATTGTCACTGTAGAAATTTTTTAACAAGCAAAATAACACTAGACATGAGCTGAAGGTTTATGAAACATTGAAACTATCTGACATTGAATCAAATGGTTCAGAGTTCTTCAAACATGTTCATACTGAGGAAGGTCTAAATATTACTACAGTACTTTAATGCTGGCTTATCAAGGTCAGGAAAATAAAAACCCAAAGAAAGCTCTACTGCCATGTCAAGGTGAGTTCGATTAAATACGCTAAAATAATTGACAAGCACTTAGCCCATGATTAGTAAATGGGATGATTAGTAATGTAGCTAAAAGATGGGATGACAATGGATGACAAAACAAAGCAACATCACTACAACTAATGTCTACACAATGAAAAGGGAACCCTGCGTTAAGGTGGAGGCTATGGGGGAGTTACGACAACATTAAAACCATGAAAGATGAAGCTCGGCTGGCGACTCGTAACTCACCCTTCTCAGCGCGCCCCATGTGAGCTGGATCCAATAGAAGCAAAGCAGAGAATAACAGCACAGAATTAGGTTGGAAAGCATGCACAGGTTCACAAACACAAAAGAGATTTTCATTACATGTTGTTCTGACAGCAATTTTCTCACTTTACGCATTTTTCTGGTCTATTCTGGATAAACTTCTGCTTTTATCTAACTAAACAAAATATATATATTCAAGAAAAGCAAGAATGAAGTAATCCAATATTGCCCCATGACTTTCTTCAGCTTTGCATCCACCCTGTTCAACAGCAGCAGCAACAAAATCAATGCTTTCAGGAATCATATATAAGCAGCTACACTCCAACAATGATTTGTAACCTTAATAACACAGTTGAATGCAATCTGTTTAAAAAATGCAAAGGAAAGAACAAGTCTGAACTAACACAAGTTCACACAAACTTTAAACTTTATCCAAAACACACCCAACCTCTGCCTTCACCCTCTTATTCAACTAATCCCCATGAACTCCAAAAGTCAAGACTGTCTTCACCTGCTACCACTTGCACCAATCTCTCACTCCTTTATGCACATGCACACACAAGTCATATCTCTGTTGCATATATCATTATCACTACACACTAAAATGCACAAGTGGTGCTGAGGCTGCTCATCTGGCTGTGTGAGTGTGAGGCAAAGGGTGTGTGCTTGTGCATGCACTGTAATGTAATTAATCAGCTGTGAGTGTTGATTACTTAATCTGTCATTAGCCAGCCATGTGTATAAGGGTGAGTGAATGTGTGTGTGAGTGTGTCTGTGTGTGTGTGTGTGTGTGTGTATGTGTGTGTCAGGCAGCAGCATTTTCAAGGCCCCCTTGTACCAACAGCTGTGACCAGAGCCAAACAGGGCAGAGCAGAGATTGATGATACAGGACTAGCATCATCATTCATCAGGGATGTGATGTTTCAGGGATTTGGGATGTGTGTTGAATGTGCTGCCTGTCTTGGTTTCCAGTGGAGCGCTATCACTTTCTTGGTTCGCTTTCTTTGCTTGATTGGTGATTTAAACCCATCACGACCCAGTATTTAAGACTCAATCCTCTTCATGACATTATTTAATCTACTGTAGGTTTTCTCTGAGTACTCCAGTTTACTCCAACAGCCCCAAAACACGTGTGTTAGGTGAATTGGCAATTCTAAATTGGCCGTGGCGTGAATGTGATCATGAATGGTTGTCTTTTCTATAGTCTCTTTTTCCTACCTACTCAGCTCAGCTCGACTTAACTCGGTTTTCAGAGTTTTCCTTTATGTGGTAGTACCTGATGCCAAAAACATCAAGCCAAAAAAGTGACGTCAACAGACTGCATGCCACTGATTGGCCACGGAGTGGCTGGATGACTCACGAGGCGGAGTCCTTTACAAGAAACCTGCCATTTTTGAGACCCAGCAACAAGGGAAATCGCTATAAACCACCGCCGTGGTTGAATGACAAAGTGCAGACATTTACCATCGGTTTAGCAGCAGGAGTACCATCGTCTCAATGTCCTGAACTTTTGGTTCACGTTGCTATAAAAACACCTCCCTCATTGAGGTGCTACTCAAATGTAATGGAAAACGACGGAAACAGAGTCAAGTCAAATCAACTTGAGCAGCTGAGTAGCTGTTAATGGAAAGTAGACTGGCAACATATCCAAGGATATGCTACCTGACCAGCATGTCATACAATACAATACAATGTAAATATACAGTTTTTGCCAATACAAACTGTTTATGTCACAAATTATTGTGTGGGATTATATTTGTCATCTTAAACAGACATAGTTGTGGAGGTTTTGCGTTATGAAGCTCTAAAAATGGTTAAGAAGTGTAGAAAGTTAGTGACACTAATCAGTAACCAGTCTTTATTTTCATCTGCTTATTATTGCATTATGAACACCACAGATAACAACTGATATAGCCCATGACTGCAGTCAAAAGTTTGTATTTTCAAAAAATACAAACTTTCCTTTTAAAGTCACTTCTTCGTGTTTTAAGTTGAGCAAAGTCTAACTCAGTATCCACCCTCTTTGCAGTTATTTCACTTTGACATTATGGCATCATCACTACAAGCTGCAGAATTTCTTTGGCATTTTATGGTCTCCGGTTGCTGCTTTGCTGCTAGTCTCTCTCTGTTTATATACCCCTTTGGTCACAGTGGATCAGAGAAGAAAAATATACTCATTAAAAAAACAAAACAAAACAAGAAATCAAATGCCATCCTCTTTTGGGAAGCAATGAGTCAATCAGTGTGCAAAACACACAAACATTTCCCGCACTTCCACATACAGAGCATTAAAAAAGGAAAAAACAACTTTGTTCATATATTTTGATTCTGCCTGTGTAATAATAGTTGTGTTAAACTGTTAAACTGTACAGTTACATTTTCAACTTGTTTTAGGTAAAGTACAGCATTTTGTGAAACTTCAGTTCTTGACGAAGAACAAATTTTTACATCAAAACAACGTACCTTTCCAAAGCAGAAAGGGAGCTTCACTGAGAGTCATTTCAAAGTAAAGAAACCTGCCACAATTTATCAGTGCAAATAGCGCTCTGTTTATTTTGCACGCTGTCACATCCTCTTGAATACGTCTGCATAAACTCATGTAAACAAGAATTTCTTTATATTTTATTTTGCAAAAGTGCCCAAAACTTTCACCCACTGTACACACTTAACCCTCAAACTCATTTATGCTCACGCACACACACACACGCACACAGTCTAATGAGGGATTAGCTAATGAATTCTCTCAGCAGATTAATTACATTTTACAGACTTCCTCCCCAAACAGCTGAAGAAATGAGCCAGCCACTTTCAAAGCAATGGATTTTGTAAAATCTATCACTAAATTGAAATCCGTAGAAACAGATTGGCTCTAAGCAAAGGGACGTTTCATTTGTGGAGAAGACATTAAGATGGATCTGAAGGACTGCAGACTGAGGCATTACTTTTAACGAGAAATAAATAAAAAAGCCTTTGATTTGGCGCCATTTTACATGGCATGAGTAGAATGAGGAGGCATTTTCACATGAATCGAAATGAGAAGCAAACATTTCAGATGCTCGTCTTTTGTACCACTGTACTCCGGAGGGCTTAAAAGCATCGGCCTCCCTCCTTCTCTGTAAGCGACAGCAAAACACATGAATTGACACACACGTTTGCACCACACACATACACGAGACATGACAGACACACACAGTGATTCACACGCATACACACACACACACACACACAAACACTCCCTTCTGCCGTTTTCACAGTCTCTTGAGTGGAGGAGATACCCACGGCCAAAAACCAATGGTTTCTTATTTGTCCCCCTCCTCTTCTCTTTCTCACTGTCCTTCCATTTCTTTCGCCTTTCTCTATTAAAACACACAATTTTATTTCATCTCCTAAATGGGGCAGAAAAGTAATTATAATTAAACTAACTTGGTTCTAATGTTCGAAATACTAAAATAATTTACAATTCTAATTAAACCAGCTCAGATGCTGTGTTCAGTGGCACTGGCAGCCTTTTAATTCGTGTGGAGACAGTGATGGAAAACAATTATTTCACTTCATTAAGATTAAAGACGCCTAGAATCTGTGTCACAACTCGATCAGAGAGGAGACAGATTTAGAAAGTTGTAAAAATTAACATAAACTCGGTTACTGACTTTGTAAAGACAGCTTGTTCAGATTTATTACACTGACTTTGTAAGTGATTAGCCAAAACAAAACTGTGTATAAAAAGTGATAAGAAGAGGCAAGAGACAGGCAGATTTAGAGAAATGCTTTAACTTGCAGTTTGACTTTCTAATTGGGAAACTAGAATAGATTAAAAAACTGAAAGGAGACAAATTTAGTGAGAATGCATCTCAGCGCGGACTGAAAATGACTTCTTTAGTGCTTAATGGATGGTTTTAAAGCCTTGCCACAAATATTTCTTGTCCTTGTCAGTGATATGAGTGTAGCACCCAAACACACATTTCCTTCATTACTAACTTTTGGTCTTATAATTATTGCTTTTTCTCAGTGCCAAGTCATAATGGCTGTATTAATTATCAGCCTGCAAACCTTATCTGCATCACTGGCTGGAGATTTTATTAAACCGGTGCATAAAAACGCTGCCAGTGATAAGTTTACACAAGCTGAACGGTGTTAACTTAAATGTTACCTAAATTTTTTGTATGGTTAGCTGGTACAGAAAATACATGGAGACATATGAATGTTTAGTAAAGAGTGTGCCTGTTAATTTTCCCTGTACTGATTTGCTACAATTATTCTCACATTTGCATGCTTTTATCACTAAATATGTGGCTCTTTTTCTACAACAAAGCCAAAGTTCTCCTTCCGATCCCCTTTTCCACGCTAATGATAGCCCACGTCTCTGTGAAGCGGCATCCAGTCACTAGTATTTACTTGCAAATTAACAGCACTTAAATTCCCAAAGAGGCCTCAGAGAAATTCCACACATTTGTTACCCAGAGGACCAAATGACAATGGGGGGGTATGGGGGGCGGGTATAGGGTGGGAAAGAGGAGGGGTGGAGGCAATAAAACCTCCCCAGATGAAGCTGGAATTAATGTGTAATATTAATGCAAATCATTAACAGGGCTATTGTGAACACTGGAGCGTAAAATTATGATTTTATGTGTGGCGCGTGATGTGTTCTTTGCTGTAACTTTAATGTATGGTTGTGATTTTGGAGGTCAGCTTTCAAACAGCTGTGTGAGCCTCTCCTGCCTCTCTGCGCGTCGGAGATGAGAGTGGAGCAACGGCTGAATGCGGAAATAAAACGCAAACAGGTACGAGATCGAGCGATTACAATGAGAACGTAAGGAGTTTGGTTTCTCGGAGCTGGAGGAGTCGTTTGTTTGTTTTGTAACAGCGGATAACTTCCGCGAGTTCATTTAGGCGACTTGCAAAAGCATCGTCCCAAAAGTGGCGAGCAGCACTGTTGCAGCGTTTTTCCTGTGCATACGTGTTTCTGCAGGCGAGACGGACAAAAGAGCTTCAAAGGCTCACTGCGCTGCGGGTTACTGTTTAAACTCAAGTCCCGAAGTCAAGCAGAGGGGTGGTCTTCCAACGGATCCCCCGCAAAACGAGGTTTAAAGTATCGCACTCTGCGCGTGACCGTTTTGATGGGAAGTTTCGGGCATTTCGCAAAAATCACGCGTAACTTGATGAATGTGGTAACCAGAAACCAGTTACCGAAAAAGTATCTCAGTCTGATCTCTTCAGTCACGCAATGCCAAAAAGCAATACCCCTCTTTATCAACATGCGATCGACGTGCAGACTGTATTCCCAACCATTAGGTTTGATTGCATGCAGCGAGAATAAAGTTGGAGATGAAGCGGCTCATTTGGTTTGCAAAGCGCCAGCAGCTCGTGGCGCTCGCAAACCCAACTGTCCGCTAGCTGGAACAAAAGAGCAACGCTCCTTTAGAAAGTACTTTTAACACATCACAGAGCGCAGGGTGATATTAAATAAAAAGCTCGCAAGCATTTAAGGACGATAAAGATCAAAACAAACCAATCCATCATGCAATTAAGGTGACACATTAGCGTGTCACGAGATGGAAAAACAGCAAAGTGCACCAGGCTTTTAATAAAGGTTGTACAAATCAACGCTGTCTTGCTACATAAATATTATTATACAGTGATGTCCGGGCACACAGGAACTTTTTTTCTCCATTCATGCGCTGCGAGACTGCACTGCTTCACGGCCAAGCTCAGCTCTGCTTGAAATCTACAGGAATAAACGACGCTCAGCGCAAAAAAAAAATTCAAATCTTTCCACTTTAATCCTACTTGCTCATAACTGCAAATGTATGCAATGCTTCCTTTTATTCGTAAATCAGAGGCATAGTAACTCTCGGGCTTGAAGACCTGCGATGCGAAGAGCCAAGCAGAAATGCAGCAACTTAAGTTTTAGGCATTTAAGATAAGAGTTGGCGATCCAGGTTATGAGTGAGATTACTTGTTCATATAAGAGAGCGCAAACAAGGTTTTAAATGGGCTGCATTCAAAGCGTCGCACACAGGCGACTTGCCTGCGACGAAGTGAGCATTTCACATTTTAACAATGTCAAAAAGGCATCTCCACCTCATGAGAATGACCATTTCCACGTCCGCCGACATTTAAAAAGCCCACATATGTGATAAAACAGGCGATACGGTGCATTTTCAACACCGAGGCTAACTTTTCTCGCACACCTAAACACACCTGTCTGGAATTTATGAGCTTAAACCAACGAGGAAAAAGAAATTGTCGCCTAAACTTTTTCTTCTAACACACGACACAACACAAACCACTTCAAACTGTCGTGTTTTTCTTCTTCTTTTTCCTCTTACCTGTCGGTATTTGGCCAGAGACGTTACCAACTATCGAACAGAGAAGCAGGAGTCCCATGAATACCGAGAAGAGTGTATCCATGTTTAAAGCCGTGGCCGTGCGAGAGTCTGTAACAGTTTCTCCCCCCCTGAAAGTTTTTTTTTCTTTTTTCTCCGTCTCCAGTCTTCTTTATCTATTTCTTCAGCGGGTTATTATTCCTCCTGTTGTGATGAATTCAGCGGCCCCATTCTCTTTTTTCCTCTCTCTCCCCGTTTTCTCTCTTTTCGCTTCCTACGGGCTCTCGCGGACTCCACACTTTGTTTCACGCGGAGTGCAGTGAGGGAGCGCGAGGGAGAGAGAGAGAGAGAGAGAGAGAGGCAGGGAGGGCGAGCTCAGCAGAGAAAATGTGTGACGTCACAAATCAGGAGTTTATTGAAAAATAAAAAATAAGGAATTAATAGAAACGATGTAACAACAACACCCTGGTTTTCTATTATTTTCTATCATTTTATAAGTAATTAGCATATGCAGATTGAGGGTTTTTTTTTTTTTACTTTATAGTATTATGTTATAACTCTGCAGTATTGGTGACATGTTTATGACCCCCATGCCATTAAGCTACGATTAAATTTTAGATTAAAAAAGAAAGAAAATTAACTTGATTTATCATCTACTTGACCTTTTATGTTCTTTCTGGCAAACTCTCTGGCTTGCATGTGCTCAAGTGCACACACACTTACACACACACACACAAGCCACACACACACACACACACACACACACACACACACACACACCATAATAACTGATGGGGGGGGGGGGGGGAGGGACGGTGTGCATTCATTTTCCCGGAGTCGTGCCCTAATCCTAAAACTAAGGTCCCTAACCTTAAACCGAGTCTTCAGCCTTCTTTTTGTCCCAACAGATGAGTCGGGTCCTCTCAATGGGACTGCGCAAACAGATTAGGTCTGCACAACATGAGTAACGCCAGTACCAACACACACAGAGTCATGACAATGTCAAGTATGTTTCCCACTGCGTTATTTAAATACTTTTATGTAATCTAGCTGTTGCTTTTATTTTCATTTTAACTAGAACTGATCTGACTACAAGTGAAGAAAAGAACTGAAGGAGTGGAGAGAAAAAGAGAGCGCAATGTCTTGCAATATATTTAATTCCTTACTGCTAAGTTATTTGTCATTATCAAAAAGTCATTGTTTCATTACAGCCTTCTCTAAGTAAGTACTTTTTTGCATTAAATTGCTAAAATAGTAACAAAAAAAGAAAAAAGAAAAAAAAGAAAAGACACAGTGGGAAAATGAACCTTTGTGTTGTTTAAAAACAAACAAACATGTTATGGTCATAAAAACAATGATAAATCTCAAAATAAAGAGCCCTGATACAAAAATATGCATAATTCCCTGCACAAAACAGGACGCCTGTCCAACACAGGTCTCTTCAAACTGCTTCCACCTCCAAAGAAAACCATCCAAATAAAGGAAAATAAACAGAATAAGAGGAGAGTAAAGGAGTGAAGGAGCAAAGAAGCACAATATATATCAAAGTGCTCGTGTTATATTGAAAGCCATTTACAGTGCAGAAAGATTAACCAAATTAGAGTTCTGCAGTACAAAAACCATCCTCCAAAGACAGAAACCAGAGCGGTAAAGACTTGAATGTGCAAAGTCATCAAGATGTACAGCCAGGAGCTGCTTCCATTTGATTTAAAGGAGGCCTTGTGGACAGTTGGTGGACTATGACCAAAAGTGAACTCTTTTTTTTTTCTTTTTTTTTGAGCTGAGAACCTTTTTGTCAAAGAAAATTACTGCAACATCCTTGATGACCTTTTACATCTCCTACTTCACTCCATAAAAGTGCACCACCACTAAAAGAAAAAGTGTATTTATCAAATTTTAATTATATGCAACTGTATGCTAGTGTTTCTGTGTGCCACAGTTTGACTTGAAAACATATCATTTACCCACACTTCACCAACAGCCAAGAGTTGGTGACAGTATGTCAGAGTGAGGCTGGATAACATCATGACAGACCTGTCAAAAAGACAAAATAGATGTGATTTGGTACACAACTGAGCTAAAAAATAAAAATAAAAATATGTGGCGTGGTTGGAAATGTATGAGCAGGGAACAGGTGTGCATCCTCTCTGTGTGTTTTGTCTCTCTTAGTGCCACATCTCCCACATGAAAGGTGTGAAGAATCTCCTTTCCCAAGTTTCAGCCTGCGTGAGACGGGAATATTCACATAGGCATCCCCTGGTTTCTGCAGAGAAAATAGATGTAGTGCCGAGTGTTGCTGTGCTGGTAATTACATGTTTCTTCTTACTGTCGTAACTGTAAACTGTGGCTAGCTAGCCTATTGTCCTGTATGTAAACCTGTGTATCTGTCACCAAATATCACTTTTAGATTCAAATCTCAACTTGCTAATGTTGCAAAGTGTTTGTACCCTGCCATTATACGTAGATGGCCGTGTATTCTCACTACTGCGCTCACTGAAATTGCAGGTTGCAGGTTGTTCATTGCAGTTATTCGCTTGAACACAGTTCTGTCATGCCATATTTTTGCGGTATACACTGATGTAAAAAGCTCTTGCATTTGCGGTGTTTGAATACAGCATGGGTGGAAATCATTATCGCATATGCGTACTCTCTGCGATTTCGCATGGACACAACTCTATATGCAGCTGCATTCTAATGTTTACTGACTCTAAGCTGTATTTATAGATAAACAGATCTTTTGTGCATTGCAACACACACCATGACAGATATGTGATATTAAAAGTGGATACTTTTTCATAAGGATTTGTGCCAAAGCTCATATTTCACAGTGTACTATACACTCTGATGTGCTGTGGATTTTAAGATGCTTCTCTCCAGTCATTGTTTTTATTTATTTATTTTTTTATCCCTCACATCAACCGAAGTAACGGTGCTGCATTTCAGGTGACAAAAGACAGCATACAAAACATGGCATGTAGTCATCGTTGTGTAATAGTACACCGCTAGACTGAAAGTTAGTCTACAAAGGAAAATACACTATGCTGGAAATGGACAGCAAGCATAAATAGATTTTTTATCTTGAAGCACTCCATGACCCCTTTCGATCTCCATGCAGGTACATTGTTCCTGTGCCGGCAATTTTAAGCAATCTAACCTGTCACAGCACTCACTGGAGCTCAATGGTAGCTCAGTGCAATTTTAGGACCAAATGTTCCATCTAGTATCTGTTGTATGATGGATTGCACAAGAGGCCCATGTGCCTTTTAGCTCAGCAGACAGGAACATCTACTCGACAATTCTTCAAAACCATATTCTACATGGGAATATATATATATATTAGTGTTGTAGTATAATATATATATAAACCATATATATATATATATATATATATATATATATATATATTATATATATATAATTTTATATATATATATATATATAATAAATATATATATATAATTATATATAATATATATATTATATATACAACATGTGCATTTGGGTAAAGTCTATTATGGTAAAGGTCTGGGTAAAGTTAATAGATGGGATGCAAAGTCAAATCTCTACTCCACAACTCAGTACGCACCCATAGTCAAACCGCTCCCTGTGGATGTGGCAACACAATGACCCTGAAAATGCCATTTTCAGGGTCCCAGGTTCTTGTTTTCAAGGTTTTGAGCTTTAGATTCCTCTTTGCTTTTGTGATCTTTTCTTGCATTTCCTCTGGTCCGCAGTGTCTGCTTTGTCTTCTCTGTTTGTAAGAGATGCCATCGTACTACTTTTGATGTCCTGCTTTGTTTTTGAACCAATTTTCTGACTGGGTCATCTGTGTTTTCCCTCCTGTCTAACAGTCTCACCTGCCTTATTGTTGCCACCTGTGCTTTGCATCCACCTTTTTCTTTCGCTGATTTTTTTATGCTTTCTGTTCTCATTTTGAATTCCTGATTTTTGGGATTTATATTACTTTTTGAACTTTGAAACAATTAAGAGGGGTTTTTTTTCCATCTGTCTTCTTGCCTAGTTTACCGTCATATTGCCTGAAGTCCCCAGAGTCAGTGTTAGTACTTGTCTTTGAGGATGCATTGCAGTCTTCTCCTCCTCCTTTCCTCAGAAAGAAACTTCAGCATCAGCACTGGTAAAGGTGTAGAAAAAGTTAAAAGACACAGCAAAGAAATCACAGTTTTTCTTCTTTTTCTGAAACATCTCATCTTTTCAAACTGTTGCAGCATCTCGCTCTGTAAATTCTGGGACTTGATATATAATTAAAATGGTAAAGATTGGCACAATCATGAATTCACGTGCACTAGGGTCTCAAAATTTAAAAGTCCACAAAAAAGCCAAAACAACACCAAAGACACACCAACATCGTTTGGCACACATCACATTTTGCAAGGGCAGCAACTGCTAG